TAGCGCGACCTAATAGCAACAGCCTCCAGCCTAATAGCGATAGCGTCTGACCTAGTAGCAATAGCCTCCAACCTAATAGCACTGGCCTCCAAGCAACCTGATAGCAATAGCCTCCAACATCCTCCAACCTAACAGCGATGGCCTCCGACCTAATAGCAATAGCAGTCTCGTCTCAGTCTCAGAGAGCGACAAATATTGCAACGTTGCAACGACTTCCTGGGCAGAACGTGAGTCGAGGGCTCAGAGCGAACGGCAGACTTTGGCCACGAAGAGAAGGGGTCAAATCCAAATGAGATCAAGCTGAAAGCAAACGTGGCAACTATTTCAGCAAGTTGCGCTTAAACGCACTTCGGTTCCAGTGCACAATGCACCATCCAAATCTATAAGCTTCCATTGCTCCTCAGGCTGCCAACACTCACTAGCGTGACAAAAGGATCGCGCCACACCGGTTAAAGGTTTTTTCAGCAAAACTGACAAGAAAACTCAGCAAACTCTCCTTCTTGTGCTCAAGCTCGAAGCAAACAATGTTGGCCGGCTTGATGTCCAAGTGCACATACCTTTTCTTCCCAAATCCGCTTGCAGGTGTTCCATTATAGTTGCTGAGTGGTACACATCTCTATTGCATTCAAGTCACCCCATCGTATGCAAACCAAAAACCTCAGTAAATCTCAAACTGAACGCCTCTCGGAGCGTCAAAATATACCAAATAGCCAAGTTGCAATTGAAACTAAGGCCCACCTGAAGCCATCAGCTTGCGTTTGCTGATCTCGAGTCCAATCATCCCCATGGTTTCTCATCTGAACAAAAACAACAAACACAATTCCAAGTAGAAACCATGGTCCAAGCCACTGTAGTGAGCGGTGTTCGTCGGCAGTTAGCTGTCGACCCTTGTCCCCATATCGGATCAGCCGATCCTGCCAGGGGCGTCTTGCACTGCAAGGAAACCAAAAGGAATTCTGTGGCTTTCTCAAGTGAAAAACCTGTCTAACACTGAGAGGGGGATGCGTGTCCTCTAGTGATTCCATGCCAAGCTCAAACACAATGAATAACGACCTTCGGCCAGCTGGGCCAGCTGGAAACCACAAGCACATCAATCAAATCCTAATCCCGTGGGAAGGTCCATGTCAATTCATACCGACGCGTGACGCGTTTTTGGCCGCACGCGCGCCGCGGGCGCGTCACGTGGAGGATGCAAGGGAGGAAGCACATACCCCTGGAAGTCCAAGACGATTCTCTGGTGTCCGGAGAAGGAACCTTCCATTACTTCACTGCTCACGTAAATAGAGTCGTTCACAGTTGTCCTTCCAATTGTTTTAATGTGGGAATCTGCCCCTAAATTGGCCGCTTTTGTTTGAAGACTTGGTCCAAGTTGTGGATGCTTGGATTGAAACTGAGTGGGTGGGGGACAACCCACGAACACCTAGAAGGTCTTTCAAGATGTTGAGGCTCTTTTGGATCGTCTGAGCAGGAAGCCTCTTTGTTTCTGGCAACTCCCTAAAACATCTGTCCTCTTTGTGGAACAGCGTTGCAAAACATTGCCGATCGATTGGTGATTTCTGCTAAGTAGCTCTGATTCGATATCAAGCCCAGGCTTGCCGTTGGAATCTTTCGAGTAGCTGATCACAGAGACCTCAACAGCATCTGTGAGTCGATCGTCGTCGGCGAAAGCGGGTGCAGAATCTCTGTGAACGGGCGACACGGAGAAAAATCGTTCGTGAGCCTCTTGCCGAACTAAGCAACCGACAAAACAAGAAGAAAAGTCTATCTTCCTCATCCTTAGCTTGGCACAGAACTTGGACCGTTCAAGTCGAAGCATGACTAAGTACAAGAGCGGCTGGGTTGTTCTCCAATTCGGTCGAGACACAGTTCACCTCTGGAGGAGCGGCGCCGCCTATGGAAAGAGATCCACGGCAAAAGGAGGCAGGAGTCCAATGTTTTCTCTTGATTAATAGACCCCCCCATACCCGAAGAGTTTTGCATCGGTTTTCTGGGACACTCGGAGACTCTCCAGCCACTAAGTGTCGGACACAGCAGTGGGCAGTTCAACCATGCGCGGATCGAAGGAGCGTGTGGCAAATTCTGCCCAGTCGGTTGACCTCTCCGCCCATTCATTGTCCTGGTATTCCAGAAGTATCGGTCAATCAGTCAATCGATCTTTACAGGGACAATCCATGCAAAATTATCACATATCACCGACTGTCTGAATCTGGACCTTGCAAAGGACCAAGGACTTGTTCAGAATGAATTCTTTCTGCCTGTCCTGTGCTGCTTCAAGAGCTCCCTCTTCGGCATCACCGACTTCGCTCACTACCTCGAATTCAACACATGTAGCTTCTTGTTACTACTAGTAAGGCACTTGTTACTAGTAGCGATGCACTTGTTACTAGTAGCTTCCATTCTCCACAAACAGGGTCCAAATGCAACTCTTTCAAAGTGGCTTGTCAAGTCGGTCATTTGACTCCAGATACTTCAGACTTGGGATTCTCATCATCCACGATCTTCGTCCCATTCTGAATGGCAAGCAAAACGTTGATGCCTGAGGCTCGTTTTGAAAAAGTCTCACACTCTCAGCTCTTGCATCCTGAGAAAGCAGCTCTTCTTGTAACTGGCAAGTGTTTCCTCATCCTCGGGCCAGTTCTTGGTGCAGTCGTTCTAAGGCTAGTATCCAGGCATCGTCTCGGTCTCCGGCCACGTCTTTGTACACTTTCACTGCCACATTTTTCAAGGCCTCACCATCTTGCCAGCTGCAGTTAAGAAGTCCAGCTGCAGTTTGTCAGACATGTCCGCAGGCGATGGTGGCCTCCGTATCCAGCCCTCTGTATACCACTGCAAAGCTTCCTGCCGTGATGGTATATCTTTGCAAATTCAGGAAATGCGGTAACACCATGGTTTCCACACACTAACCAGTGTCCAGAACCTCAAGCTGCCACAGGTGGCGGAGTTTTCCCTGTGCTGCCACAATTCGCGTCGCATGGCCTTCACCCAAAACTTGATCTCTGGAGATCTTGAAGCGTTGCTGTAGAACCTCCTGCCGCAACTCCCAAGTGAGAACGAATGTGCTTGGCAGTTGCTTTGCTGGGCAAAGCAGCGGCATTTCTTCCAGTGTCATCGAAATACTTAAATTCAAGCTAGCCCAGACTGTCAAGTTCGAAAAGGATCTTGAGGGGTATTGGTATTGCGCATTCCCATTCAATGTTATCACTTTATGGCTTGGCATTGGGCATTGATTTCTGTTGTCATTGTGACATGGCATTGCCCTTGATGTTTGCTTTATCATTGCTGCTGTTGCTGCTGGCTCATCATTTCTCTTGCCTCGTACTGCTATGACATACGTACAGTATCTGCCAACTGCAGCTGTCATGTGGCTTGTCGGTGGTGCTGTCACATAGACTGTTGCTGTCATTGTCGCTTGAAAGTGTTGTTGCACTGTTGTGACAGCGGTGGGATGTTACGGTGGGCTAGTTGCGGGATACTGGGCGCAGCCTTGCACCGACTATGACTATGCTCCAATCCTGGGTTGGACAAACATGAAGATATGACTCCAACAATTATATCTGCAGGTGGAACACACTCGACAGTGACATGCGTCGAGCCAGGTCGGCCTGGCTAAGGTCTTTGCTCATTGCCTTGGCACATGCTGAGAGAGAAAGCTGTTGCCACAGCATTGTTTAAACGAACCTCCGCGTGTCCCCGTCCCACAGCAAAAAATCTCGTGTCTAGTGTAGCGAAACAAAAGGAGCCTGGAACATTCCTGGGTAGACCATCGTCTGTTCGTTGAGTGCAATTCTATACATACGACTAATTGCACAATGCAGCCCTGTCAGGTCTTTTAGGTTAAAAGTCTTGCGAGGAAAATTACCTTCAACGAGTGTTGGGATGAAGTTGGGATCTGTTTTATGAAATGTTGCTGCGTGTTGAGCGCTGTTATCTGTCAGTTCCGCAAATGTTACACCATAACTACCTCCCTCTGCCTTCTTCGACACAGAGGAGTTGCTGGAAGGTGTAAAATGGTCTAAGCCTGGGTGGCCAAACGTGGTCCCCTAGTCACATCTAGATTGGACTGGTTCCCAAAGCACCTGGCAATCGCCTGTGGCAGCACCCAAAAAAACCCTTGAAAGTACCCCACACTCTTCAATATGGCTCAAAATCCACCTGCAAAGAAGTTTTCCAATGGTCCAACATGGCCTCAATCCTCCCCAAAACCTGATCAAACACATTGGGGTCAACGGCAAACTCAAGAAATTGATCTCCGTCTCGAGCTGCCCACAATGCGGCACAAACCAAAGCCTGAAAGGCACCTTCTCATATCCAACCTCTACCAAGTCAATGTCTGCCACAATTGCTTTCTTGGTGACCCGTTACCCTTGCCCCAAAATCCTTGCAGTCAAGAAGCAAACTTCAGACTCGGCTTTCATGATGTCATTGTGACAACAGTTTTGAGTGAAATGTGAAACTGCACACATCTAGAGTCTTGAGGAAGTCATAAACCTGAAGTACGAGAGCCCTGCCTTCTCTCCATCCAAAGAACTGGCCACCAAATTTGTCAAGTGCAAGCACCGTCTAGTATGCTTAGATCCTAAGGTCCTGAATAGTTCTAAGCTATCCCAAGATCCTGAAACTTTCAGCCGAAGCGCGCTTCCCCCTTTTCCCGTGGACCAGTCTGTCTTTCCTTGATTGCCCACATGTGTATGTGGGAGGGTAGCAGACGTTGCATCACAGTGATAACTACTATTATGAATAAGGCGTGCATGGCATGCATCTGGCATCATCTGGCCAAAGTTACGCAGCCGTTCGCCGTGCCGTGGCCCTCTTGGACCCAACGGCCCTCTTGGCCCTCGAGCGCAATTGGCCCCGGACAAGCAGCCGTCTGAGACTTCAGACCATGTGACGGGTTTTCAGTTGAAAACAACTTCTTTTCACGCTTTCAAGGCCGCAATTGGCCTAAATGGCCTCGGCGCAACGGCCCAAACAAAACTTGGGACTGCGCTATCCAGTCCACGCAGTTGCGTCTGGCCATCTTGAATTTGCAGCAGTGTCGTGCCTCTCGTTCATTTCGAGTGCCCAGATCGTGTGTTGCCATGCAATTGGGGCATTTCTGAGAGGCACGGCGAAACACGGCAAGTGTATAGCGAGGGTGCAATTTACACCCCGTCCATGCAATACTTGGAAGGCAAAACAACTTGATGCCTTCTGGAAAAGAATTGGAAATGACAACAAGGTCTCATTTTCACATCTTTTGGTCCTTAGGTGACCCTTCCAGGCAAAAGCTGCAAAGATTCAGCAAAAGGGTTCGCCGCAGCTTCTGGGGCAGATCCTGTGCTGGATTTCAACACATGGGGCTTCATAGCCTGCTCATGCACAATAGAATCCTGTACAAATCCCTCATGCTGCTCCCGGCGTTCGCGGTGCAACTGACATGTATCCTGGGCGTTCGTCAGCGGAAAAAGAAAGTGTCAGACACTCTGCTCCCTTCGTTGTGCGAATTCCAAGATCGCCTGGCTCAGGATAGCGGAAACCCAAGAGGTTCGCCTGCAGGTCACAAATCTTGGTCCGATCTGTGAATACAAGGAGTATGCTGATTTTCTCCCATCGCACATAGCATTAGCATCTGCAATGGTCTGCCTTCGTGGTCGGTGTTGGTGCCCACCTCACAGCCACAGTGTTCTCAGAAGGATGGATGGCAATAGAAAACCTACCAAAGGTAATCAGGTGCGGGGGTTCAAATGATCAGGACACCTGGTCGGACACCTGGTCGTTTGGTACAGCTCTGGTCCCTGGGCTTCGGACATGGCCAAGCCGGGTGGGCCCTGGTCCATGCGGACGGCCACCTGCCTGGCCTGCAGCAGGGTCGATCGGTCGATGGGTACCTCAGCACAGGGGTTTCAGGCAATATGACAAGAATCCCTGTCCAAACGTGTTTTAAAATCCAAAGTAATGGGGGCTAAAGACATGGGGGCAAATGGTGGTTCCATCTTATGCTTCAAACATGTTTGCAGTGCAAAGCTTTGAACACACTGAATGTCTCATACAGCACATGCTCAATCTCAAAGTTCTTTCCCTGTCTGTTGCATCGGGGTCAGCACTGGCGTAGATGGTTGCCCGGCGGGTGACAGCCTTGATGTTTCATGCATCAAGTCATCTGAGCAAGCTACTTGAGGTCATCTGGACACATCTGGACTGGGAGCCCAACATAGTGGGAGAGCCAGGCCTGAAAAGGAAATAACAACTGTCTCAGCCCACCAACTGTCTCAGCATGTCTCAACACTCCCTACGATCCACAAAGAGCGAAAAAGGCCACTGTGAGTCACAAGTTCCAGGCCAAATCAAGCCACCTGTGGGACTACGGGTGAAGTGTGTGGTCACCTGACAAAGCAAAGAAACCGAGTTAAAATACGATTAGAACAAGTGTGCAAGTGAAGAAGAAAGCGCACCCTTGCTGGGCTAGCCAACGATGGAACCTCAGAGCCGATGGCAGCCGAATGCACACCTTCCAAACTCTGTTCAGAGCCCAAAAATGCAGAGCTGCGGCCAGGAGCCCAGGCTGCTCCTGTCTTGGGAGTCGAGATGGCTGCCATAGCCACAGAGGTCGCCACAGAGGTCGCCCTGGAATCATTGTTGGAGGTTGAGGAGCTCTACGATGGACCTATGAGGATTGAGCGGACAGGAAACGCTTGGGCCACAGACCCCGTTGGCGTAAATCCTGTAGAGATTGGCGAGGGCAAAGGCCTTCACTTGGCTTGCCGCTCTTTCTGCAAAGGCATGTTTACTAAGTCCTTCGATTGGGTCAAAAAAGAACAGACCGTGTGCTCCAGGCAGGCCACAGCTTCTTCCAAGGCTGGCTTTGATAGCTTTTATTTATACAGGGTTGGAGGTGGGATCTGTACAAACATCAGCTTCGGAATTCCTTTGGGCAGCAACTGCTTTCGGCATACTTGTCTGATAATGGGACCATGGCCGCAATGAGCAGTGAGATTTCAGAGGTGTCATTGGTTTCATTCTGAAGAAATGGTGGCCATAAAGGGCCTTGCCTTTTTGTGGCCTGTCAAGAAGAACTGTTCAGAAATGCCCTGCATTGTGTCGCGTTGATAAAGAGCGTTTCACACCGCCGACTTCGCCTGGAGACCAACGAGACCCGCATAGGCCTCGTTGCAAGCAGCGAAGACAGATCGAGACATTCAGCTGTCCACTGGGCGACTCAAAGAATTGGCCTTCAACTCTTCTTGAAAAGCTCAAAAACGGCAAAGTCTCTAAAGCTTTTCAATCGCCTATCTTGATCTGTCAACAGCATTCAAAAAAGCTTCAAGGCACTCCTCGTTTTCAGGTATTCAATTGCTGTTAGGTGTGCAAAGAAAGCATTTCAAGATATTTCAAGTCCTCCTGCATGCAATTAAACATGTCTCAACACTGTGGCCTCCAAAACTCTGGCCATTTGGGGCAGCGGAACCGGTCTTTTCTGAGCAACCAGCGAGGCCAAGGGGCGCATGCCGGCATAGCACACCTCGGACGCATGCTGGCATAGCCCGGTGAAAGCCAGCGAAGCGCTGAATAGCACTGAGGAGGCAGGCGCTCTGCGAGAATAGCACTGAACTCTTGCCCTTCTCTGGAGATATATCATCCAACCTCAGAGATTTCGCCCCAAACCTATTGTGTGATGCTTCTTGCGCTCCCTAGGTCTTGACAGTTTTGACCATGGCTCTTTGGCATGCTGGGGATACAGCGACAGGGGCGCTGGTGCTGGTCGACGCTTGCTGGGGGTGCCTCTCCAACAGCTGACAGCAATTGAACACTGCCGAAGGTGCCTGCCTGGAGATGTGGAACGTGCGCGTGCTTGCTCCTGCAGCAAAAGAAGGAAGGATAGAAAGGAAAACAAGCGACTTGTTTAACTTAGTTGGCTGGCAGGGCATAATGTCGATGACCTTCTAAGTGAGTTGTGATCGCCTTGGGTGTGATCTAGTGGATCTAATAGTCGATTATTCTGTTTGATCTATGCATTGCATTGACATGCACAAAAAGCAAGCCTGGATGTCTTCTTCAGTCTCCTGCACCAAGCCAGGTAAACAACAAGCCGATCAGAATGTTTAAACAGGTTCCTCCAGTATTCCTACTGCAGCGCCACACGGCTTGACACAATTTCAACCTCAGCTGATGGATGTGTCACTGAAGGCTCCTTCAGTTCCTGCAGCTCCTTCAGCTCCATGGACGTCGTTGGGGGCGGAATGTGCGGACCTCCCAACGTTGGGAAACACGGTCCAGTCTATGGCCAGTCGGCATCACACTCCCACCTGTAAGGTTGAAGCCGAAGTTTGTGTTGAGAAGGCCTACGCACCGCACGGGCACATGGCGTGGTCTTCGCACGGTGTTCAGAAGGCTTCACAGGTCTCACAGTTCTCTCAGTCAAAAAAGCAGCTGACCTGAGCCCAAGAGGTTCGTGCTGCCGTACACGTCGGACATTGGCATGGGATAACCTGTGCCAACCCTCCAGAAAATGTTCACTGCGAGCACTTGCCAAACACAAAAGCCATCTCAAGAATGCTCAGGAGCTGGCCAACTGATTCAACCTGCGCAGCATGTCAGTGTCCGCAAGATGTCCCCCCCCCACGATTCAACCGGCCTTCCCTGCTGGCTTCGTGACACCATGAACCTTGGTTTGCATCCACCATGGCTCTAGTTGCATCGGTGTGACCCATTCGGACTGCAGGACAGTGATCTGACACCAGTGGTGCCCATATGCTAAGGTACAAGATGGTACAAGTACAGTCGTCAATATGTGTTGTGAAGTCTCAAAAATGCTAACAAAGTCACAAGAGAAATGCACTATACAAACAGTATCAAACAGTCATATTATATCTTCAGAACCACAATAGAAAGGCTTTCTGCACACGGCATTGAGCTGTCGGCCACCAGCCGACCTCAAAGAAGCAACGTTTGGAGAAACACAATCCATCGCAACGCTGCTCAGATTGCATGCCTGTCTCAGTCGTTTTGACCCTCGAATTGATTGACCCGTGACGTGCTGAACCACGCGATATGAGGCGTTAAAGGCAAGTTGAAGGTTCTTCAGGTACTGGACTGAGTGCTTTGTACAAGGCGCCAGCCATCTTTTGTCACAGTCGGCGGTGGCATTCCAGGCCTCAGAGACACAAACGCTATGCCCAAGCTCGCTACCCCGGCACGATCTCTTTCAACCCAAAGCAAGTTTGCCGTTTGCGACCCGTTTGCCGAGGTCGGGGGCTTCTGCTGCAAAAGCTGCGCCTGAACCTAAGCGCGATGCGGTGACACTCGGCTGAAGGATCGAGCTGTAAATCTCTGCGTCGGGCATCCGGATGCAGCTCTTCGATTCCGTGGGCAAAGGTGCAGGTCTGCCGAACAGGTACAGAGCACTGATGACGAATGGCGATACCAAGATAGCGCCATACAGGAAACGGCAGGGTCAAATGATGTCGAATGGATATAGCCTAGCTCAAACAGTGTCCTGCAGCACACAATAGATGCAGCGCTGATACACCCCAATTGCCCAAGGGCTCTACTGTTTTGCCCTCAGCTCCAGCCTCTGCCTTCTTGCACCATCCTTGAAGGTTCCAGTGGTTGCACAACCTCAATTAGCGGATTCGAGAAGGAGCGTGCAATATGAAAAGCAGAAAGCAAATGGGGTTGTTAAGAAACCTCCATACACTTTGCTATTACCAAAACAGCGTTGTCAGTTCTTTTCCTCTCATCGTTTTTCAAGGGCTTTGTATCGAATCTATATTGTATCACATTCCTCTTTATGGTTTTTCAATGGTTTGGGCCCCTATTGTGCTGACATTTGCATGGCTCAGCACAGTATCCAACTGTTGTTCGAAGTTTCGGCAGTCTGCTCACGAATCTCGGAGAGGCTGATGTAGAAGGAATGCTTGCAGTTTTGGGGACTGGGCACTGGGCAGTGCTTTCGTTCCAGAGGCATGGGTGCATACCACACGAAACAGAAAGAATAAGTAACACATCTTTTTGAGGGCGTCCTTTATCTGAGAGGATTTGTTAAATAGCGTTATAGTTATCGTTGTTGTTCTCGTTTCGTTCTCGTTATGATACCCTCTAACGATACCCTGAGCAAGCTTGTGGGCGGACTTAGATTTCTATCATGCCAGTGGATGGATGAATGCACAGATCCAGTTCCAAATCAATAAGTGCAACACAATACAAGCAATCATCCCTGAATCAGCATGTCGCTGTCGAAACATGTGATGTCGAAACATTGATATTTAGGATCCTCTTCTCATCAAGATTTGACTCAGGCCAGATCCTGTGAGGCATGAAGTGGCCAGGAAAACGGCGAGGGACCTGAAAAAAGGGGCCAATGCTGCCAGATGCCAGGCTTAGCCAGTGATTTTCGGTGATGTCTGTCCCCCAGGGCTCAAGCCTGAACTGTCTGCAACACTTGCGCCTCGGTGCCGATTGCATCTGACACTGCCATGTGCCACGGTCTTTAGAGCCTGCCTGTGGGGGCAGAAAGTAAGCTCCAGCTCCTGCAAAAGCAAGGCTGCCTTCTGACTTGTTGACTTCCATCCTTTCAAACAAAAGCATGTGACTTCCATCCTTTCAAACAAAAGCCTTGAATCCCTGGAAGTCCAACTTGTCACTGGCCGAAACAGCTGTTGGTTCCTGTCCTGCTGTCTTCGCATGGGCTTTCCCGCCGGCCTGCCGCTGCACGCTTGGAAGAATCTTTCTCCATGTCACTTAACCTTGCTCCGGAGTCTGTGAGCGCCTATGAATAAGCCAAATGATGAACTAAGTATACAATGTGTGTGGATATGCTAACGCGGCAATTCCAAAGCCCACGATTTGTGTGAAAACCAGGGACCTGTTCGCAAAGAGTCAAAAGTATGTTTTCGCTCATGTTCGATACTTCCAGGAAGAAATAACGTTTGCAACAAAAAACAACTGGCTTTTGCTTTTCTAGTGTTCGAGAAGAGATTTGCTTTTCACTGGCCATGACAAGGTTGGGCAGGTAGCAAAGACATACTGCAAAAGGTCAAAAGTATATAATGCATGCTTAGCTTTTTGAGAAACTCTCACATTTAGACAAAAAGGCTGATGTGTCAGCTTTGGAAGAAGTAAAATAAAAACAGCAGCAGCAGCAGCAAAGTCTTTTCTTGCTCACACTCCCTTCGAGGCCCTGCAAAAAAGCCAGGCAGCAAATAATTAAGCAGATGAAGGCACAGATCCGCAAGTGAAGGGCTGAGAAGGTGGCGTTTGATCATGAAAAAAGGTCGTAGCAATCCGATATAGGGATTTGGATCCAGACCGAAGGTATGTTTATTTACCCAGCAACCCAAAGGATGTTTCTCGAGTCTTACTACATCTCGTACCCATCAAGTGGCAGCCCGGACAAGCAGTGCCAAGAGAGGGTCCACCTCGCAAGACAAAAAGGTCACCCATGGTCATCCCATTTCTCTCACTGTCCACGAATGGACAGCTCAAAGGGAGAAAACTGAGCTCGATGCTTCCAAGAGCGCCAAAGTCGGTTGTCCCACAACATCGTCGGTGAGTTAAAGCCATGGAAAATTTATAGGTCAATTGGATCGCGGTTTTAACCTCTCGTTTGCGCAGCTTTGAACTTTGAGCCTCCGAAAAATATGCGAGTGAAGGTGAGCTGTTCCAACACATTGGCACAAAGGAGTGACTTTCTCCTGAGGATGTTCTTGAATAAACACCAACCACTTTGCACTGCGAAGAGCAGTACGCCAAATAGATCCGAAATGTGTCCCTTTTTAGCTCTTCGAGAAAAAAGTGTGGTTTTCTTTTCAAAAAGTGTTCCACTTCAAACTTCGATGTTGCTCAAAAGCATCACATCTTGCTTTTGGCTTTGGAACGGTCGAAAAAATACTTCATATGCATATAGTATGCTTTATTTTTGGGCTTGTCATGCAAAAAATATCATGTTCACTGCACGGTCCCCACCCGCTAATTACAGTGCTGCTTCCTTTCTGCGCATCAGTCGTGTGTTTTCGTGTCCAAGCGTGTGAAGGTTCTTTGCCTCTGGCAGCGGAGTGATAAAGTTGCAGGATCGATTTTATGGTTCGTGTGAAGTTGTCTTGGTCATTATATTTTGATGAAACTGAAGCCATGTAAAGCATGGCGAATGTTCTGGCTTTCGTTGCAGCTTGCTACAACAGCGCTTTGCAGTGAGGCAAAGACCGAGGTCTCTGCAAGAAGCACTTGTGTTGTATTTTGTTGTCATACTTTTGTTTTTCTTTGCAAAAAAGTCTTCGCTGTTTTAGAGGCATTGGTTGTTCTTGCTTAGCTTTCTCTGGTTCTGTCATTGTTCGCCCTCACTGTTGCATCTCTTTGCTGTTTCTTGTGACCGCTTCTCCCCGGTTGAGAGGCGGCGGCCAGTGGACACATGTGGACACCGGTCAAATACTATGTGCACATCGGACCCTGCTATTCTGACTGCAACCGCACTTTTGAGATTTGGTAAACACAAAAGGCCTTCTTCTTGCTCTTTGCATCACTGGACTTGGCCTCGCCATGGTCAAGGAACATTGAACTGTGGAAAAAGAGAAAAGGACTCAGAATGGTTTCAGGAGGCACTGATACTCCACAGGCCTCCATGTTCGGTGGCTGTGGTGCCGCGTTCTCTCCCATAGCCTGCGGTGAGCCAAGAGGAGCCAAAAGTCTTTACAGAAGCGGAAACCGGGCCTGAGTCAACAATTGTTCCATCGGGCAATGACTTGGTTCAAAATGTCTGCAGGGACAATCGTCTCACCAATGGAGGCGACGGTCGCAATGTGGCTCACTTCACTGTCACTTCACACGCTCCAACCTTTTAAGTTCTGGAATCCAGTTGAAAGAGAGGATGGAAAATGGTCACGGGCAATCCCTCTCTTTTCGGGCATTTGACTTTGTCACAGCCCAAAAAATTCAACTTTCGTCTTGAAGGCGGAAGGAAGGCTTCGGAAGGTCATGCGTGCAGACTCTTAAGAGCAAACACAACGATTAAGGATTAGAACCAATCAGCCTGCAGATCCTGCCGAGATCGGCCGAGATCGGCCGAAATTGCTAAAAGATTGAATCTCATGTTGAAAAGATTCCAAGTGAAACGCTTGAAAAAATCAGCGACAAGGAGGAAGGAGCTGTGTCTCTCAGATGCGTCAGAGGCGTTCTACTCTTCCTGGTGCGGCGCGGTTTGTTGCTTGCTTCGAATGTGTCAACCCTGCCGTATGCTCTCGCCTGAGCACATCCGCGAGGGAGTTGCAAAAACCTCTGCCAAAAGATGGTGTTAAACTAAAAGAACTACGCATCGTGGCAGCTATGAGAATCAGTTGGAGGCCATCGCTATTAGGTTGGAGGCCATGCATCTATCTGTTTAATCTACGCATCGTGACAGCTCTGACTGGCTGAGAATCGCACGCTGACTTTGCTCGACTTCTTCTCCAGATTGATGAAAGAACACTCCCTTGACCTGCAAACAGAAA